CTCCGTTTTTACGATTACAATCGACCCTGGACTGCGCTTGCATTGTGCTAGGCTCGAGTTTCTGTATCTCGTTTCTTCATGCTTGTTAACCAATAGTCGGTCCAACCGGAGGTAGTCATGACAATGAGTACTACAATGATGTTCGGCATATCTTAGATGAAAAATAAATCGCTCAGTTGTAACACCCTTCCGGCGCCTAGCTGCCATGCTACCCGAAGGAAGCACGAGGGCTGGGATGCTGCCATGTTGCCCAAACCTAGACAGGGGAAGTCGAGAGGCAGAGGTCGGGTTAGAACCACGAACCCCTCTGGTCAGTAAATTCGCGCTCCACCCACTTGCGCCATCCTCAGAGACTGTCTGAGGCTGCCTATTGGTTTAAACAGCTGCGGCACCGGTTCACTCTTTCGAATTCATCATAAATGGAAAATAAGCTGTGGGTTACCCGAACTGCACTGACGAGAATGCCATGTAAACAGTCTTCCATATGAGCCTACTCAGTCCAAACCAGTCAAATATGTGACGTATTTTGCCGCCCGACTCATCACTTTGGACGTTTGCGCCACCCGCCACTATCAAGACGTCTTATCTTGATGTCTTGTTGATTATCTAATTCAGTTGTCCAAAGAAGTTTGGCTTTACTGATCCGATGCAGTCATGGGGGCATAAACAGTTGTCACAGTCGGGGACCCCACCTACCCGATGGATCCCGAAAAGGACGAAGCCGGTGGTAGGTTATCGAATAGTTTTTAGGATCTTCTTGTAAATGGTTTATTCTGTAAAAACGCGGAATTACTTTGACACACTTGAATGATGCGAGGGGGCGAGATGGACCAAGTGGTTAGGGGGCGAATTTACTGACCGGAAGGTCCGCGGTTCGAGCCCGATCTCTGCCTCTCGACTTCCGCTGCCTAAGCTGCTCTGTTAATCACTGTCACGTACAAGTGGGTCAAAAAGTGATACTAAGAACATAACTCATCTGTCTAGGGTGAGTGAAGAACAACCATTGAAATCTGCCTCAACGAAAAAAACGGTTATTCCATTGGCAGTTATGTAGTCCGGTTACGTTCAGAGCTGTTTCTCCTAATACATGCGAAACAAAGCCGTATTGCCCAGCTCGGTGAGCATAACAAAAGCTATGCGTGATACCTGGGTTTTGGGGTTAGGTCAACGTTACTCGAAAAGAATGGACATTTTTCCCGCTCTGTGTTTTTGTGATGTTTTCTGGGACTCGCCTTGTGTCTTCTTCAAGAAGTTGAGTTACTGATCTCTACCCTTGCCCATAAACTTTTCAGTTGTCACGGAGACTGTGGTAGTGTCGTCATTTTGTCTGTAGATTTGATTCTTGCACTGAAACGGTATTCGCTGTTCGGTGACGAAACGAGAAGCTCAAAGGTCGTCAAACTTTCTGGCTAATTGTTCCAACTATCCACATTACGGAGAGTATGATATGCCTAGCATTGACCTCATTTCCAGGTTATTCCTACATTGGAAAGACTCTGGGGTCGAAATACTACAGTTTCAGATGGACGTAAACAGTATCGACACAAATCCTCTCTGCTCACTGGGTCGCAACGATCGAGGGCGGCCACTTTGACTGGGCTTTTGGCTTGAGTTATGCCATGATCCTGTAGTCTAAACTAGTTACAATGTCGTTCTGTGGGGTCCATCTGTGCCATGAAGGGATCGGATTTCAGTTTTGGACCCCTGTGGTGTCCCCCAAGAAAGCCCCACCAACCGTCTATGTCCCGCGAATACTGTCTGAATGTGGTGGAAAAATGGGAATAATCCTGATGCGAAGCGTCAAGTGACCTTTGGAGAAAGCATCTCGCCTACAATAAAGTGCCTGAGGACACTGCATTGGCTCCGGGTCGAGATCCCCGGAGAATCATCTTTGCAGATACATGTGGAGGGTAGGACGCGTCCAGTCACATCCAGGGAAAGACTATAATCAGAGAGCATGAAAGGCATAAGCAGAAAATACCGTTTACCGTCTCCTCGGATAGGAGCATCAGAACGGCACAGATCAATGATTTGAGTCACTCATCATCCTCATCATCGACTGCATGACATCAGTGTTCAACACCAATGCTTCACTGCCGTACAACCATGACTTATTTGAAAGCCTTATTGTAAAGAAAAGAGTATTCTTGGATGAACTGACCAAAGTCATCCCGTCCTTTGGTATGCACTTTGCACTTCCAAATTAGTTCCGATCGCTTTTCGTTTCTTAATCTTCCACTTCAGAGTGCTTCACTTGATGATTCGCCTCGGGTGCCGCTGTTAGATTTTCCTTAGTCTTTGTGGGGTTGTGAGTGTTCCGACAATTTAGTTTGAGGGGGGTTGAGGTCAAGTGGAATCCAAGTGATGACTACTCTTCCTACTGATGACCAACACGTGTCAGCTGGAGTGTCAGCTCATTCTGTGGGGTCCATCTGTGCCATGAAGTTCAAGGGAGAACAGCCGAATAAGCCACCGTAATGCTAGTAGTCGTAGTACGAGGCAACCTAGATGCAAAGTGAAACTGCTCTGTGCGACAAGGATGTAAATGCAGTAAAATATTTCCTTCAGGCGACCAGCATTCGCATATTTATGGAAGCATTAACGCTGTCTTTCCCTCCCTCTGGGAGGAACGGATTCGAAAATGTCATCCTGGAAGACTACGTTCTCCGATCTCCAAATGGTTAGACATGATTGTCGGTGAGTTGTAGCATACGGCAAAAAGAATTGGCCTCATCCAGATCTTCATCGGACCTAAAGTCCATCTGTACTCCCAACCTGAACGCACTCCAACTCACAATCCACTGATAATGTCATCTCAACTGGTGATGAATCGCTTGCAACCGAATCACCTAACTAAGTAAAGATGCCATCAGTCCTCAGACCCATCTGTCGTTCACGGTAGTTTCAGGAGTCTAACTCCCGAGTTAGAAAAGTCTCACTTCCAGAAGGGATCGGATTTCAGTTTTGGACCCCTGTGGGGTCCCCCAAGAAAGCCTCACCAACCGTCCATGTCCCGCGAATACTGTCTGAATGTGGTAGGAAAATGGGAATAGTGCTGATGCGAAGCGTCAAGTGACTTCTGGAGAAAGCATCTCGCCTACAACAAAGTGCCTGAGGACACTGCATTGGCTTCGGATCGAGATCCCCGGAGAATCATCTTTGCAGATATATGTGGAGGGTAGGACGCGTCCAGTCACATCCAGGGAAAGACTATAATCACAGGGTATGAAAGCCATAACCAGAACATACAATTACGTTTACCGTCTCCCCGGATAGGAGCATCAGAACGGTACACATAAATGATTTCAGTCACTCATCATCCTCATCATCGACTGCATGACATCAGTGTTCAACACCGATGCTTCACTGCCGTACAACCATGATTTATTTGAAAGCCTTGTTGTAAAGAAAAGAGTAAAGGTGGACGGGGAAGGGATTTAGTGCTAGCTTAAGACTATCATTCCGAGGTGCCTACACCTCCAGACACTCACTCTGGATAAAAATTGACAACAAGAACGCCATTGACATCGGTTGGCAGCCGTATCTTGTAGTGTCTCCAACCAGGCACAGGGAGGATTACGGTCCCCATCCTGGAAGGCGAGTAGCACCGACAGCACCCAAGCGTTTTGTGATCTTTTTCATACTCCTCTGCCAAGTCAAGGGTTGGTCGCCCCTCTGTTTACGCAACTCTGAATTGGGCATGGAAAACAGCACTCTCCTCGGCAAACGATGGTTCGGCATGCGCAACACATGTCCCAACCAATGCAGCTTCTGGTGTTGGACACATTCTTCAATGGAAGTACCCGTTGCACAACCGAAAACGCGCTTCCTAACTGCCGCACTATGAATTCGCCGACACCAACCCACGCGAGCTATGGTTCTGAGACAACGATTGTCGAACACCTGAAGACGTCTCAGGTCCGTTGCTCGAATAGGCCAAGTCTCACAGCCATACAACAAAACAGCCCGTGCTGTAGCTTGATACACACGTCCCTTCAGATTCAGGGGTAAACCATTCTGACGCCATAGGTGTCTCAAGTTAGCAAACGCGGCCCGAGCCTTGCAGATTCGTGCATTCACCTCATCTGTCACACTACAATCAGAACTAATACAACTTCCAAGATACGTAAATGCCCCACAACTTCCAGTACCTCTCCCTGGATTGTAAGTGGCGTGTTCAGTGACTGTATGTCCACCAGCATGACCTTACACTTTGTGGGTGCAAAGTGCATAGAATTTGGTCAGTTAATCCAAGAATACTTGCGCCTTCTCCTCCTCTTCGAACATGAGAACGATGTCGTCTTCATATTCCGGATTGCAAGGTTTTCTTCATAGACTATTTGAACACCAAGGTTTTGGAGACCCTCCAGCGTTCGTCTCATTATTGCATCGATCACAAAGTTAAAAAGGAATAGAGAGAGTGGGCATCCCTGACGGACACGCATTGTGTACGGAAGCTATTGGAGAGCTCTCTGTACAATCTCGCACGTCCGGTAGTTTGAGAATACAAGATGGTATTGAACACGTGAATGGGCCATGTTTACTAGTGATTAGGGTCATTAGGAAACATGGCCCATTCAGGCACTCAATACCATCCTTGCATCCAACCTGGTGGCTTCACTACCTAGCTTCTCCCGCGTCATTCCAACTTCTTACCCCGGATTCATCCGTCAATGATAGGAGTTGTTGCTTCCAATTCGTAGCCATTCGTTTCTGTCTACTAGGGTATTCACGAACTAATGTGTGTTATCCAGGTCTTTGCACCTTCAGCTCATTCAACTTCCTGGTGGGACCATTTATACTGTGGAATGGTTCTTCTACACACCTTCCTCCCTTCTATTATGAAAGCCTCTTTGATACAATTATACAAGGGTGCGGAGCATCGGTGTTCATTCCACTTTTCTTTTTTGCCTGAGCCCTACAAAGATTTCCTAAACTCAAACGGACAGCTTCTCCTGACTCCCTGTTCTTCTCGGTGCCAATCAACTTTAAATTCTTCTGTGTTCTCCAGCTTCTCAGTTTGCTCACCTTGCAACGCCTAGACCACCGGTTCACGGTACAAAAAAACCTTGATTTGCGTCGTCTTCTGGTTGGCGATAGTCGACTCATCTCTTCCATAGTCGAATTCGTGGAAGATTCTTTCGCTGCATTCCTTCAGTCGGTCAGCTACCTTCCTCTGACTCCGGTAGCGAGAGACGCTTGTTCACAGATCATTAGTCAGTCAGTGAAATCACGTGTAAGTGCTCACTTTTTTGCTGGTACCGAACTTCGTTTTGTTTATTCCACGGTTCATGCACCTTCGGTGACTGTCTACCTGTTTCTGGATATGTCCGAAGGGGATAAGCCGTACATGCTTATCTAATTGTCAGTCTGATTTTGAGACTGTGCACTCATTGTCCACATCCTTCTCGCGCCCTTGATCGATACGGTTGCTTATCGCTCCTCATTGACCTCGTTTTCAGCGACACAGCTGCCTACCTACGTTCTGTTTCTCACCCACATTGTATCCGATAGCCTACCTATCCTAATTACATCAGGCATTCTCGTAACTCCTGCGCTAACCCAGCTGTTGAGGCTGGAAACTGCTGGCCAGAAGCTTAGCGGTTCGAACCAAACTCTGGCTTTCTGTTTGCTTCTGGCTGGGCTTGGGCAGCCGGTCAGTGTTTCTGCCTTCGTGCTTCCTTGGAGTTGAGCGGCAGGTACTAACTGAAAGAGCCGTACGGCTGAATGAATGATTATTATTAATTTTGCGGTTTTGTTCGGTCTCTTTTGCTTCTCCATCTATCTAAAACTTGTTGTTTCCCAACACCTGAACCACATGATGAACAAATACTCTGCCCGTGAAGTACACTGTTCACCACTTAAAAATAGCACGCTGATACAAGTTTTTAGCATGTTCTTACGCTTTTAGACTTATTCTGTTTAGCCTTCAGTGAACCGGTTCAATTCAGGTTACAACAAGTTTTTCCTATGCGACTCAAGAGCTTATCTCAGACCCTTAGGAAAAGTTCACATGACGGGTTGAGCACTTCGGCCAGTTGCTTGATGTCAGGTTCGCAGCCTTCACCTCGTTGACGTCCTTTTCCTTCGCTTTTTTCCATTGTCCTTCCTGCAGCTTTTGACGCACTATGTGTATGGTATCAAGAGGTATGGCGAAGAGTCTAGTGACTAAGCTATCGCAAAACAAAATTTAAAAAAATAAATCGTTCAGCTGTAGCACCCTTTCTGTGCCTAGCTGCCATGCCACACGAAGGAGGCAGGAGGGCTGGAATGCTGCCAGGTCGCCCAAGCCTAGACAGGGGAAGTTGAGTGGCAGAGGTCGGCTTCTAACCACGGACCTTCCGATCAGTAAATTCGCGATCTAACCATTTGGTCCATCTCGCCCCCAAGCTATCGCAACAGGGATGCGTAGTCAGTCTTATTTAATCCACTTGATCATGGAGCAGACCTTTAGAGTCACGTGTGTTAAACCCATGACTCATGGATATTCGACATCAGTTACTCTACTGATATGGCCCTCTTAGACGGTGGCTTTGACAGTTCTTGACTTGTGTCAAGAGCTGTCACCGCTGTCAGAGGTGAAGGTGTTTTTGACCCATCCAACCTAACGGAACACCACCTATGATGAAAAAAGTTTCATTGGAAGGTTGAACCCTTCCAATACGCCGGATCCATCATTCTGCCTTTTGATCCGGACGGCCCGCTGCCGTGTGTACAACGCCAGAAGACTTCTGTGTCGTGACGACGGCCGCTTTGCGTCAGAAAGCAGTTTTTGAAAAAAAGGGTTTGAGTCCAACAGGGTGCTGTTTGTCCCGTCTTATTTCTGGGCACGAGGTCCGGCTCGTTTGGGTGGGAGACATTCGACAGCGGTTGTTCAAAGATTATTCTACAATCAAGTTGTTACGATCAACTGTTTAACCGTAATGTTTCGCTCTGAAATAATACATATCTGTGAGTGCCCCCCAACAATGCGTATTACAGCAGTTCCGATTCGTTTCTTCGAATCGGAAAACCAACTGATGAACCAGCTTCCTGTCCAGTTCCTTAAGATAGATTGAAGATGGCTCAGTGGCAAGAGCGCGAATTTACTGCCCGGAAGGTCCCGAACCGGACCTCTGCCTCGGGGCTTGAGTAACCTGGCAGTATCCCATCCATCGTGCCTCCTGCTGGTGGCATGGCAGTTAGGCACCGAAAGGGTGATACAGCTTAATAAGGGCGAGTGATCGGAAGCTGATCCAAATAATGCTGTGATATGCATGTCCCACTTCTGTGTGGTTGGGTGGCCTACATGCGTTTTTTCGGGGAGAAAGAGTGCTGCGAGAATAGTTTACTGTATTGACGGGTTCGGTTACCACCACTCCCTAATAATTCTCTCTGTTTGCCCTACAGGTCGTCGTCTTTGGCCTTCTGCTTCACCGCAATCATCTAGTCAGCTTGGTCCGAATGAAAGGTCATGAGCTTCATCCGGCCGACATACACTTGATCATCAATCTGGTATGTAGTTCACAGTCGCTCAAGTCTGTTCAGACGCATTGGATACCGATTTGTTTGCCCAAGTTCGATGCCAAGTGAGTGAATTTTGTGTGATTTTGCAGTTTACTTTCATTTCATTGACTCTTGTTGACCGTTTTTGGTAATGATCCAGAAATTAGGGCATTGTTCTGATACTAGTGTTTTGTCAGTTACGGGCAAACTATAGTGGCATAGATGATGATTTGAACTTCCCACCCACTCCCGTCTCTTCTCACAGCGGCTTCCTCTATGCTAATATCGCGTTCCTCGACAATCACACATCTTCGGTGCTTTTGTCTGTCGACAGTACTCAGTTCTATGCATTGGAAGAAGCAAAGGATGCCATCTTTGATGTACGTTACATTTTTTGTTTCCTGTTTGGTTGATTGTTTCACTGCGATCGTTTTTTTTTGGAAGAAGCAAAGGATGCCATCTTTGATGTACGTTACATTTTTTGTTTCCTGTCCTGTTTGGTGTTTCACTGCGATCGTTTTTTTTTTATTTTCACGTAACGACATTTGATCTGCCATTGAAGACGTCTACATTGCATCAAGTCAGGTTGTGGTAAATACTTCGCTGGGGTGCAAGGTTGCCTCTGTCTCCATGAGCGTATATAAGTGAACACTTTCGATAGCCACAGACACGGACCAGAAAGCAAACAGTTCAAAATTCACGACCATCGACTGAGTGATATCTTCGCAGTAGGTCATCTGACCAATCCCTCTTGAACCCTCACATTGATAAGCTTCCATCATCACCTAAACTATTCGACGCACCTGGTGTGTGGATCGGACAGATGAGATAGGAGGAATTGAATAGGTATGGGGACTCGTTGCACTTCGTCTGGCTGCTTTCCGTTGACCTTCCTGACATGGTTGAACCTGAGTGGGAGGCGAGGTGGCTCAGTGGTCAGCGCGCGAATTTATTGACCGGAAGGTCCGTGGTTCGAATCCGACCTCTGGCTCTCGACTTCTACTGCCAGGCTTGCGCAACCTGGCAGTATCCCAACCGTCGTGCTTCCTTCTGGTGGTAGCGTGGCAGTTGGGCACCGAAAGGGCCCTGCAGCTGAACGAACTGATTTCCAACCAACGTAGCATGCAGAACTATTGCTCACTACGACAAGGTGGCAACTTTTGGTTGAGAAAATCGAGGTCTTTTCACCACGAAACTGGAATGGTCTGACACTCAGTAGTTTTCCTGTTCGGTTTAGTTCGGTCGCCATCCATTTTTTCATTGAGTAACAACCATTTCTTCTGAATAGCGAACTCGGTTTGATTGCCCAGCAGTCTCTCATAGGCTTCGTTTCACCCAAATGGTCCGTCTATTGCCGGCGGTTCAGACTCGTTAGCCGACCATCACATTTTCGCTGCGATAAACAACACAATGACATGTAGGCTGTTCACTGTTGCTTCAACGTCACCGACGCCAGTGACCAGGCTTGAGGTCACAACTAATTGTCTGCTTCATTTTGGAAACCACTGCACAGTGATTCACGTTAGCGTCCATCCACCCACTGGGTGTGTTAGTGACATTCGGATGCATTAGTAGTTGCTGGTCCGGTCATGTTATCCACACCACGTATAGTCGTTTTCCCCCGTGGCGCGCCGCATGTGTTAGCGGCGTACGTACTAACGACAAGACTGCTGTCAGTTACCACTGCTGGTGCTGCTATTAGGTATGCCACGGTCACCACACCATGTTCATTTAACTCTACTTTCCTTGAGTAATCCACCCGACGAGTCGACAACTAACCAACGTCACCACATGACGCCATACTAAGTCGTTTACAGTGTTGGCAGCCACGCTACACTCAGCTTTCTGGGTCTGTTATCAACAGAAGTGGTGTGATTTCATACTACGCCGATTTTCTGTCTCGCTGACCACACCTAGCTCCCTGACGATTAGCCGTGATTCCAAAACCGTTGCCTTAAGTCTCAGGTCCTGTTGATGTTGATAAGCAACTGAGGAATTAATCCTGAGATAATGTTTGTATGCGTTGCCAGTTTCCACTGATGTCAATGAAATCAAAATCCTTCATGGATAGCTAACAGCCGACCGCCGAGTCCAAGTTGGTCCACCCTTATGTGACATCGAACTACGGTGGCCGTTCCAGCCTCAATTGTATTTGGAACCATCTGCTCGTAGGTTTTGTTGTCAACTAACGGTTTTCGCTCAGGCTCGTGACATCGATTCTGTATCTTGTCGTTTCCATTGTAGCAAAGGTGATGCACCTTGCAGGACGGTCGATCTGGTTGTCGGTTTTAATCCAGCAGTGTTGGCATGTTTCGCGCACCCACAGTTAGCGGTCGTTTTTGATCTGCTTGGGAGCGGGAAGAATGAGTAGAGCTGGAATAAAAGTGATTCACTACACACAGCTCTGAAGTCTTAGTATTGTATTATTATGTTTTTGGCAGTAACATACTAACTTGGCCTCGACCACGGTCATCCACGCACCGAGGCGGGATCGGCGGCTGTTTATTTTTTCCTTCTTCCTCTTGCGGAAGTATACTTATGCATACGTACGTTAGGTTCAACTCGCAGGTTAACTACTCTTATCTAAGTAACGGTAGTTTAGTTTTGCTTTATCCGCGGTGTTGGTAATGTACATTTTTAAGTGGATGTGCTAATTATAAACACCACAAGAATGAATGCACCTAACACAGTGACCTTAGACGATGGCCCTTATATCCAGGCCGTTACTTTTCACTTCTGTCTACTAACATTTTGTGAGTAGTCAAGCTGTTTTGGGATTTTACTGCGAAGCTGTTAGCGTGTTCACGCACAGCATACACGCACACCTTACATACACACCTTTTTCAATATTCACTCATTACAAGTCAGTACAAGACTGACTGCAATGTGTACGGAAGCTAGTTCTGAAGTATACCAATAGGACTTCTATTTTCTCTCCAGATTAAATTGGGTATCCGAAATGGTGAAGAATTCACGCATACACGTGATTCCCAAACACCCTTTTGCGGAATATCCTGGTTCACTAAAATGAAACCGATACAATGCACATCTTCCGTTTGCGCTTCGATGTCTGAGTGGCTTCACTCGGCCCCTTAGAGCTAGTGTATATGTGTGTGTGTGCCACTGAATGATCAGTCACAGACACACTAGTCAATCGACATTTCGTGCTGTATTAGTTTTGACCGACGGGAATAAGTATATCAGTTACTCACGTCCTGTAGTTGTACCCTTCAACACAGCGCTTCATCCTGGAGACAGCGAAAGTGCTTTCTTGCTTTCGGCCAACCTGACACCATTTTTATGACGTCTGCATTTTAGCGTAAATGTGAGGTGCATTGTGCACGTATGTACCTCTGCAATATGTCCGCTGAGTGTCCCGATAACTGGTACAGTAGCTCAGATTCTGTACTCAGCACAGGGCATCGCTTGGGACACCATAATTTCATCTCGAGGGATGATACACCTTCTATCGGTACACTTTAAAACTGGATTAACTGTCATGATCCGACATTTCATATATCGTGGGCAACCTTTTTTAAAAATTTTTGCAACCATTTGAGTACGGGTCCTCTGATTAGTGCGTTCCTGAAACCATTTGGTGGTCGGATGCGCCTAGTGTATGACCATGTGTTCGATTTGCATGTACGCGTGATTGTATGTGTACTTTGGCTGGAATGTGCCCTGTGGAGATTCCTGTCTAATATCTGGCCATTGGGTCTGCTTGGGTGTGCAGTAAATCCAAACCAAATAAACGGGGTGTTGGTTCCATCATCACGGTTAGTGTAGTTCGTTTGTGTGTTGAATCTCTGTTGCTTCAGGGGACATCCGTTCTACGCACCATGAGTTGATTCCTGACTGGATTATACGTGTGCTATCGAAGATGGTTTGGTAGCTTCACTTGAACACTTGGAATGCAGTGGTTGTCACATTCAGTTTTTCTAAACTCAGTTGGATTTTGCTGAAGAGAAAGACGCATGCCGTCTGTTTTTTTTTCCTGATTCGTTCATGGAGTTGTCTGGTTGTCGGCCGTATGTGTTTGGCTGGATATTTTTGGTCATGGAATTTACCAGACGCAGTTTGTGTGCTGTTCAGATTCGATACGATCCTTAGTCTTCACAAGGTGTCGCTGTAAGATGTTATCAGTTCTGGGGAATGTTCTGCTATCGTCCGGATGGTATCTGAAGTGCCATTTCTAAAGGGTATTCCCACGTTGACCACTGGCTCACCGTTTCGGTTAGTATTCTCCCCAACTGTTGGGTGGGGGGTCCTGTGGGGTGTTTATTTTACAGTACCTCTTTACTGAGTCGTTTCAGTTCATCTGCTCGTATGGGTTCATTTGAGCGTAGCTTCTTGTTGCGATTCGCCAAGGATCCGCAACTGCACATTTGGCGATTGACATGGTAGTCAATTACCTTAATTCGACCGAATTTGATCTGGAACTCCAACAGAATAAGTGTGTCCCAGGATATCTTCAAAACAATTGTAGGACAGCTCAATGTGATTTTGAGAAACCTTAAATTGAAAATGTTTAAAAGCGCCCACAATTCAATTTGTACTTTTTTCTTCCAAATTCCAGCGACTCAAATCTACGAACGGTGGTGAATACGTAACAGCCATCACTACTACGCAGTTTCCTTCGGTTCGTGATATCGGCGTTCCAGAACTACGGCATTTAGTGTGTAAATACCTCCCTACGGCTCAGTACGTAGCCACCGAGTGGACTGTTCCCTATTTGGATCCCCAATCGGATGGCGCCAGTTGCAGCGTTTCAGGCGATTCCCAAATCTCGGAGACTAGCGCTCTACGAGCAAAAATTCTGCAAGCCTACCGGAGAATGTACTGCCGACTGCACAATCGGCGTTATAACATTCGGCTCATTTATCAGTCCACTCCGACGGAAGTATTTTTTGCTTGGGTAAGTTCGCGATTGTAGCGCGGGGAGAACAGTGATATGCAGTGTGAAACAACAACTTCGGACACTGACCTTCTTTGCACGTCGTCCGAAAAAAGGCAAAGCATAACGAACAGCCTAGTACGTGTGTGTGTGTGTGTGTGTGTGTGGAACGGCCTGAGTGGTCTGTGACGTGAGTACGAGCAAATACCTGATGAACATAAGGATATAATCAAACGCGGAATTAGCCTACGAAGTGTATACCCACCCGTTTTCAACGGCTTCCATAAATGGTCCACCGCCTCAATAATACAGACCACAGTAACGATTCAGATAAATCATTGTTCTCTTTCGGGTGCCCAATTCATCATCTGACCTGATTGCACACTGGCATCATCGTCGAATATAGCACGAACGGCGAGATGGATCAAGTGGTTAGAGCGCGAATTTACTGACCGGAAGGTCCGTGGTTCGAACCCAACCTCTGCCTCTCGACTTCGCCTGTCCAGGCTTGGGCAACCTGGCAGTATCTCAGCCCTCGTGGAACCTTAGGGTGGCATGGCAGTTAGGTACCGAAAGGGTGCTACAGCTGAACGAATATAGCAAACTTTCTTGAGAGTTGAACTGGGTTCGCTAACTTGCGTGCGACTGGAATTAACCGGCTTTGATCGGGTGCTCCTATTGGACAGGCTGACTGCATTTAACCGGTATCGTTCAGAGATATAGAAAGCTGCATTGCCTGTATTGTCCTACCGCTACGTCATTGTAGTACCGTTCATAGACGCAAACAGACTGGTCTTCAGAGATCTGCGGTACAGTTGTTTCTTACTCCGGAGAGAGCACCACTCCTAGTCGGTCCCTTGAAGCATCCTCTCCAGAGAGATACGGTTGGAATTTTTACAATTTAGTAAGCATCCTTCATCTCCTTGCCTTTACACTACCAATGAGGTTGATGAAACACCGCTGAGCAATCCATTACTGGTTCCGCCTTTTTCCAGGCGTTTCAAGTAGGCAGATCATTAGTCATCTGTCCAGGAGTTTTTATCAACCTTATAAATAATGTTATATCAGGAGTATTCTGGATAGAGTGCCAACTGAACCATGACGTGACCTATGTACGTAGAGGAGAGAGATTCAGTTGGGATTCATGTAGCTGCCTCACTAACACCAACCTTATTTTCAAATCAGTCATCGTCTGTACAGCCTCATTCCTGTTTTGCGTACTTCCTCTCTTAAGTCTGCCTGTTCCCGACATATCATACCTTTAGCTTTGATAACAGTCGGAACCGGCCTCCCGCAGTTCTTGTTCTACCGTAAGGAAGCTGTTAACTGACGAAACTGTGAGGGCCTTATTCAGCGCAGCAAGAGCGATTGACCACTAGTGCCGCGGTATGCGAATCACACCTGTCCGGTTGCACTGGATGCGCAGACTAAAAAAATTCAAAAGGAATCTTTATGTAGTGACCTCTGGAACAGCGATTTTTTTATTTGATCACTTTTCCATTTCAGAAAACTGATGTCTTCGAAATCTATTGCACCCTGGATCCACTCACAACAAAAACCGCGATCAGCGAAATTCGAAAGACATTGTTAAAATGGATCACCTCTCGAAAGCAATATTTGTTTTGCCTGTCGGCGCCCACTTTCTAAATGTCCGAGGAATTCGACGCCTGGTGCCGATGGATTTTTTATCCCTACTTTGAACACCCATCTGTGTTTTGCCGTTACCTTTACTTACCCGAAGTGATCACCCTCCTGTGATATAATGCCTGTCTTCAATCATATTCCGTACACCATTTAGTACTGTTATAATCAATTTGTCCCGGTCGATTGTTGTACAAATCTGAATACAGTACTGTTTCTGTACAAGTAGCCTTCATGGAACGCTGCTTCGGAGGAGAAGCGATCCACGCAGTTTTCATCTTTCACAACAGAACACATTAAAACACTTCCACATGGGGGGTTCGCTGTGAAAATGAAAATCTTTATGGGGTTTCCCATTTTTCGGTAGTTGTTGCATACTTCAAACAGTGGTACAACTTTTATGTTGTACAACTTGGTTTCCTGCTCCCCCCACTATAGTATATCAAAAGGCATGGTAGCTAACGGCATCTGCTTAGTGAGACGAAGAGAGATTACTACGAGTTTATCTACAGGATCACCATACCGAGCATCACGCTCGGTAGAATCTTCGTGTTGGGGCGAGAAGGGCCGAGCTATAGATGCCCGATCCAGATTGGCTGACCAATCAGAACCTACCTTTGTCAGTGTTCTGGTTGTAACGTGACACTAACAAAGTATATGCTTCACGAATGGTGTACAATAGTTAGGTACACCCTGATAAAAATAAATACAATGAAAAAAAATGAAACAGACCAGAAAGAGACTTATCGTATGAGGATGACTGGTGAAAGTTTCTAGGTGAAGATCTGGAGCGGAACGGGTTTCCTCTCCGGTACGGCTGCTACACGTGTGCTGTGGAGGCTCGTGAAGCTTGGTCAACTTTCTGTCCTGTGCGTGTGTGCTGGGCCGAGTTGTATCCCTATTTGTCGTGTGCTGTGAGAAGAGATGGGTGTCCATTCTTGTTCAAACATGAGTACAATTTGACCTGGTGCGGTTGAGGGTCATGGGCCTAGCACGTGACGCAGGTGTTAGCCGCGTGAACAAAAATGGATGGGAAATCATAGCGTACACGTCGCTTAAGGTGATCAGTGATGAACTGAGTGACCGCTACACGTTTGTTTAGACCTTGGCCCGGTAGTAACACATCCGTCCAACCAACGTCATGTTCGATTATTAAGAGCGGCTGGTCTCCGGACACTGTGGTAATTGCTCGGAGAAACGACAGTCTCATGGTAACGCAGGATACGCTGAGACTTACTCACTCAAGGCCGACTAAAAGATGACGGCTTACTGTCAATCGCGGTGGGACGTGCAGCTTACAGAAATTGTTCAGTGGGCACTGCAACGAAAGCTTGCAAAATGATTAGAGACGTGAATCCCAGCGAAGCAATAAAGACCTTAGAGTGCTTACAGTTGTTTACAAACATTCAAACGGAGAATCCTAGCCTACCTCGAAAGACCGAAAGCCACTTTGTGGAAAGTGATCTGGTGCCCGGAGAACTGGATTAGCAACCAAGACAAGCGACGTGATGTATCAACCCAACTGCAGAAAATTTAACAACCTTATGTTGGACAAATCCGGACGGACCTGTTCACACGAATGAGTGAACATGATGCGACTATCAGAAGATATCCATGCACAGAAACCAAGAAAACCCCAGGTTCGATTTCGAACGCTTCCAAATCGTGGCAATTCCAAAGCCATGTGAAGGTTGTCTTGTCATCATCCGAGGATATGTAATTAATGGCTCCATTCTGACTACCATAAAGTACAAAAACTACTCGATTTTTCAGGATGCAGCCAGCGCTGTTCACTACACGCGTCGTTTTCTAGAGTGAATCCTCAGTACTAGTCAAACCAATTCAAATTATAGTGCCAACCGAAAACTTGCCTTCCCTAAATGAACAAGTTCCCACTTGAGAAAAGTGATCGCAACCCCATGAACTATGGAAAGTGACTTGATTGCATGTGACTGCCAAAAGAGAGACAGGTTCTAATATTAGTTCCGGACACAGCACTACCGTTCTGTGGCCCGCTATCAATTTCTCCTTCTTAAGGCACATCAGACAGGCACATTTCCCAGATTTCAAACGACCTCAATCTTTACCTAAACAACGATATATGTCGTTCGGCGTCCGTTCAGCCACAGCACCCTTCCGGTGTCTAACTGTCATGCCACCAGAAGGAAGCACGAGGGCTGGGATACTGCCAGGTTGCTCAAGCCTAGACAGGGGAAGTCGAGAGGCAGAGGTCGGGTTCGAACCAGGTACCTTCCGGTCTAACCGCTGAGCTATCTCTGCCTAACGATATTCATATAAGTATCTAAATAAACTTATTCAAAAATCCGGTTGATGCTAATCAAAGCCTCAACTGAATCGGTTCTTCACGATATTCCTCAACTGAATGTGGTGGGGAAAGGCCACACCGTGTTTCAGCTGGTTAACTATATCCTGCTAACGTAGCCTAACTCTAGACAGGAAAGTCGCGAGGCAGAGGTCGGGTTCGAACCAGGTACCTTCCGGTCTAACCGCTGAGCTATCTCTGCCTAACGATATTCATATAAGTATCTAAATAAACTTATTCAAAAATCCGGTTGATGCTAATCAAAGCCTCAACTGAATCGGTTCTTCACGATATTCCTCAACTGAATGTGGTGGGGAAAGGCCACACCGTGTTTCAGCTGGTTAACTATATCCTGCTAACGTAGCCTAACTTGTATAGTTACTGAAATTTACTTATTAATGCCAGAGCACGGACTGGTCAAGATCTTGGTAAACATGGAGACAACAGTGCCAGGAATGTGATATTCAGGTGAAATCTCTGAACGATCCGCAAAGTGCTAGGTGTGTTCACAATGGGCAAACGTTCTGAAGTAGAATTCGAACACCGAAGTTGTGAACGATTCATGTGAGATGAACTAGTTCTCCTGAGAACTTTTTCGATGAATCATACGTGCTTGTGCGCAGTCAAACATGACTAGAAATAGCTCATTGGTTAATTCTCGAACTGACTGACCGGATGTCATATGGTAGGAATCCAGTCCCGACATCTTGACTGCTCCTTTATGGGCTTAGACAACTTGGCACTATATCATCCCTCGTGCTTCCAAAGCATGGTAGCTATGCACCGAAGGATGTTACTGCTGAGCGATCATTGCTACTATTGGTTGTTTGGTGCGACATAAACCATTGCTAGATTCTGCAAAACTGTACCAACTATGAACTTTCAGACCTACCTTTGAGTAAGTGTGCATTCGACTTCTGGCTGGTCCATCAAATGGCAGTACCCCCACAACGATGCCTTACATGAAGAGAATCACCTCCGACTTGGTTTCATTGGGTGATTATTATAGCTTATTCCATTATTTCACCCAGTACGTCCGCTTAAGATGGGAAACTCC